CATTTTGTATCATGACTTAATTGGGACTTCCTTCCCAAGAACGATTGTAGCCAGCTAATTATCAATATATTTCCTATTTCTACCAAAAAAAAAAATTAGCTTTGGTTGCTTAGGACTCCATCCGTTTATTTCTACTAAATTTTAAGAGGTAAAATATTATCTTGTGGTATTATTTTAAAGAAATAATTTAGTAATTTATGGCCTACAGCATTTAAAATTTAGTGAATAGTTGATAATAGGTAAGGGACAGTGAATAGCAGTAGTAGATAGTGGGTGATGATTAATGGATAGTGGATGATAGATAGCAAAAAGTGAGTAACGAATGGTAAATAGCGGATTCAATAAATATAATTGTTTGGTTATATAATGGTTACCGGTTGTTATTTAACATTAAATTACTAATAATGACATGTTTAAAAACAAATAAGTATATTTTTTAAAATATTTATAATTTTAATAAATGATTGAGATCTAAGACATGAAAAGCTTCGATCCAAGAGTTCTTAAGGTAAAGTGTCAAGATGAAACTTCTGAACACTTGGATCAAATCTCCATCAAAACTCAGAATCAGATTTTTACGTTTAATGGTTCGATTCAAACTTTAAGTGCTTGGATGAGGTGATCGAAACTTTGATTTTTATTATCGTCATGAACTTCATCAAAAAATGACCTGATAACCGCGCATCTCATTTGAAGAAGTGAAATGTTCACTCATCTGAAAATTAAATCCCCAATTGTTAATAAATAATTCATACTAACTTTCTAATAATTTCTCTTGTCAAAAAAAAAAATCTCCATCAAAGCTCACTTTGCAACTATCAAATTCCACTCTAATACAAAAATTTCATGTAGTTCAATACTTTATGAAAAAAAGATAAATATAAATTTTAATGAATCAAAAAAATATCAAAAATGCCTACTACAAAAGTTTAAAATTAACTTTAAGATTAGATTTACTAATAAGTAAATGTTTTATATAAATGTGTAATTAAATTTAAATTTAAATTTAAAATAAAATTAATTTTTTTAAATATATCAAATTAATGTAATGTTACTTTTTAAAATCAACTTAAAGATGAATTAAATTTAAAATAAAATTAATTTATATTTATTTTAATTTTTGCGATGATAGATCCCCGCAGGGCCCCACTGGACAGAAAAAATTCTCTATAAAATCTCACGAGGGAAAATGCTCCCCATCTCCACTCTATGGGGACGAATATTCTTCCTTGCCTCGTCCCAGTGACGGACTTTGTTATCACTTGACTTAAGCTTTAAAATTAAGAAGCTTAAAAAATATTCATTTGTCTTATTTGTCTTATTTTATAAAAATTAAGAAAAAAATTATACTATAATTATATTATTTTAATAAATTTTTAT